ATACCACTACACACCTATTAGAATGGCTAAAATTCAGAACACTGACAGCACTAAATGTTGGCAAGGATGTGAAACAATAGGAACTCTTAGTCATTGCTGGTGGGAATGTAAAATGGTATAACCACTTTGGAAGACAGTTTGGCAGTTTCTTACAAAATTAAGCATATTCTTACCATACAATCTAGCAATCATGATCTTTGGTATTTACCCAAAAGAGTTGAAATCTTATGTCCACATAAAAACCTGCCCGTGGATATTTTAGCAGCTCAGTTCACAATAGCCAAAACTTGGAAGCAACCAAGATGTCCTTCAATAGGTGAATGATGAACTGTGGTTTGTCTAGACAATGGAATGTTATTCAGCGCTGAAAAGAAATGAGCTATCAGGTCATGAAAATACATGGAGGAACCTTAAGTGTGTACCAGTAAGTGAAAGAAGCCAATTTGAAAAGGCTATACTGTATGACTCCAACTATATGACATTCTGGAAAAGGCAAAACTGTTGAGATAGTAAAAAGATCGGTGGTTGTCAGGGATCGGAGGTCAGGGAGGAATGGATAGGCAGAGCACAGAGCACTTTTATAGCAGTGAAAGCACTCTGTGTGACAGTACAATGTTATACATGTTATTATTATGTTATTATGCATTTGTCCAAACTCATAGAACATACAACACCAAGAGTAAAACCTAAAGTAAACTATGCATAAAAAAGTTAATTAAACTCAAAGGAAGGCAGAAAGGCAGGAAATGAGGGACAAAAAAATCTATAACATATACCGAAAACAAGTAACAAAATGGCAAAATTACTTCCCTGTCAGTAATTACTTTCAGTGTAAATGGATTACCCCACCCAATCAAAAGACATAGGTTAGCAGAATAGATTTAAAAAATCAACAGGATCCATTTATATGCTGTTTACAAAAGACTCACTTTAGATCTAAGGACACTTTAGATGGAAATGAAAGGTGGAGAAAGGTATTTTATGCAAATAGTAACCAGAAGAGAGCAGAGGTGGCTACATTAATATCAGACAAAGGAGACTTTAAGTCGAAAATAGTTACAAGAGACAAAGAAGGACGTTGTATTATGATAAAAGGATCAATTCACCAAGAATATGTAATAGTTATAAACATGTATGCACCAAACATCAGAGCTCCTAAATATATGAAGCAAACATTAACAAAATTCTAGGAAGAAATAGATAGCTCTATAATAATAGTTGGAGTCTTCAATATCCCACTTTTAATAATGGATAAAACAATTAGACAAGATCAATAAGGAAATGGAAGACTTGAACAACACCATAAACCAATTGGATCTAACAGACATGTACAGAACACTCCACTCAACAATGACAGAATATATATTCTTCTCAATGCACGTGGAATGTTCTCCTAGACCACATGTTAGGCCACAAAACAAGTATTAACGAATTTTAAAAGGTCAGAATTATACAAAGTATCTTTTCTGATCACAATGTAACTAAACTAGAAACCAATAATAGAAGGAAAACTGGAAAAATCACAAATTGTGAAAATTAAATAACACTCTTGAACAACCAACAGGTCAAAGAAAAAATCACAAGGGAAATTAGAAAATATCTTGAGACAAATGAAAACAGAAATACAATATGCTAAAACTTATGGGATGCAGCAAAAGCAGCACTAAGAAGGATCTTTATAGCAGTAGATGCCTACATTAAAAAAGAAGAAAGATCTCAAATCAACAACCTAATTTTACACCTCAAAGAACTAGAAAAAGAACAAACTAAACCCAAAGTTAGCAGAAGGAAGGAAATAATAAAAATTAGAGCAGAATTAAATGAAATAGAGAAAAGAAAAACAATAGGAAAAAAAAAACAATGAAACTAAGTTGGTTTTTTGAAAAATCAACAAAATTGACAAGCCTTTGCCCATATCGACAGAGGAAAAAAAAAATAAAACTCTACCTAAAATCAGAAATGAAAGAAGGGACATTGCTAACAATTTTACAGAAACAAAAAGGATTATAAGAGAGTACTATGAACAGTTGTACACCAACAAACTGGATAATCTAGATGAAATGCACAAATTGTTAGAAGCACACAACCTGTCAAGACTGAATCAGGAGGAAATGGAAAATCTGAATTGATCTATAACTATCAAGAAGATTGAATCAGTGATCAAAACCCTCCCAACAAAGAAAAGCCCTGGACTAGGTGGTTTTGCTGGTGAATTCTATCCAAGAAAATACTTTTTGTGGGGTCTCTGACAATGTAAACAATTTAGGTTGACTAAAATCACATCAGCACCACTCTGGCAATTCAGTCTTACTCAGTCTTCTGAAAGAAATACTGCTTCAGCCAAGGAGGGGTGATCCACTTGCCAGGTGTCTTAGTCTGTTCATGCTGCTCTAACAAAATATCATAAACTGCGTGGCTTGTAAACAACAGAAACTTATTTCTCATAGTTCTGGAGGCTGGGAAGTCCAGATTAAGGTGTTAGGATGTTTGGTGTTTGGAGAGGGCCCGCTTCCTGGTCCATAGATGGCTGTCTTTTCTCTGTGTCCTCAATGGTAAGGACAGGCTGCTCTCTGGGGTCTCTTTTATAAGAGTACTAATCCCATTCATGAGGGTGGAGCCCTCCCAAAGGCCCCAGCTCCGAGCATCATCACATTGGGGATTAGGTTTCAACATATGAATTTTGAGGGGACACAAAAATTCCATCTGTAGAACCACCCTATTCTCCTGGAACCTAGATGTGAGGTCCCGGGACACCTCAATAGGCATGAGTCCCAGGGCTCCTTGGGTAGAGGACCATTGAGCTCTGCAAAGGGGATAAATGGGGACCTTGGCCATGCAGTTTTGTCCAGGCTTGGACACCCTTCCAGGATGACACTGCTGGCCCTGACTGGTCCTGAGCACTGGAAGGGGCTCAGAAAATTTCAAGGAAAGCATTCCAGAGTGTGGAGAGTGCTCTGTACCCCCTGAGGTTCAGGGTCCAAGGCAGGAACCAGGCCACGAGCCTTTCCTCCTTGTGTCCTAAATGATAAGGAGCCCTCACTTATTTTTCCGTACTTTGAAAATGTCTTCTCTGGACTATTCCATGCTCTGTTTGTAAAGATTCACCCTAGATCCATAGTGAAATTAGACTATCTGAAAAAGAAATTTTGTCCAAGACTGGAGTTATTGCTATTAGAGAAAGTCAGAGCCTAGGGTGTAGGTCAGAATTAGCTAGCCCCCAATGATCTTCATTCTGGTGTCTCAAACCTCTAGGAGCCCTCACCTGATTGCCAGTAGTTTGAAAACAACTGCTCTGGACTCTCCAGTGCTCTGTTTCTGAAGATTTCCCTGGATCTGTGATGAGTTTTGTGTCCAGTATGGATACAAAGTTCTGTGGGAGTCCCGAGGAGAGCAGGACAGACATGGGAGTTCTGAGAAGGATGAGAGGAGTTTATCAGGTGACATAAGTGGAGGAGGGCATTTGAATCTCAGGGCACACCTATGCAGAGGCACAGGGACCCCAGATCACCTGGGGAGTGGTGACTATTCTGGTGCATGTGGAGTGGTGGCATTTATTGAACACCTAGCCTGCCCCTGTAATTTGCTAAGTGTCATGTGGAATATATGTTCTTTTTTTCTTCTGTATGGAATGGTCATGACTGGCATATGAGTTTTCCTGATTTCACTCCAATTGTCCAAATGGTCTGGGGTCCCAGAATTATTGTTGTGTCTTATCTCTGGCTGCTATTACAAAAATACCATAGACTGAGTGGTTTATAAACAACAGAAATTTATTTCTCAGAGTTTTGGAGGCTGAGAAGTCCAAGATCAGGGTGCCAGCATGGTCAGATTCTGGTGAGGAGCCTCTTCTGTTTGCAGACTACCGACTTCTCATTGTATCCTCATATGATGGAGAGCAGACAGGGGAAGCAAGCTCTCTTGTGATTCTTATAAGGGCACTAATCTTATCCGTGAAGGCTCCACCCTCATGACCTCATCTTATCCTAATTACCTCCCAAAGGCCCTACCTCCTAATACCATCACATGGCAGGGGAGGGGTCAACATAGGAACTTTGGAGGGTCACAATCTTCAATCCATAACAATTGCTTACATGTGATCTGGAATTTACAGAGATAGAAGCGGCATCCACAGTCTACAGCTGAGTCTCTGCAGGATGCTGGTCCACCAGTGGACAGGAATATTCTGACCCCTCTATAACCTTTCCTAGTGTTGTGGTTACTACCTATGATGGGACTCTGCTCTCAACTGTTTCTGGGCCATCTATGGCAAAGCAGTGATGTCAGTAGACCTTAAAGGGACAGAGCTAATGAATTCAGAATACTTAGACTAAAGTAGATGTTTTGTATATAAGAATTTTACCTCATTGAAAATATGTGGATACCTGACAGGAAAAGAGCACAGTGACTTGGGACTCCTTGCTTAAGATCTGTGGCTAGAATTTGTGAATCTAATTCATCCTTGCAAGAAGGAAAAATTATCATCATGGCATATTGCTGGATGTCCTTAGACCCCAACTTAGAATTTTCCCAAAGGATTTCCCAATTAAAGGCAGTAACTAATTTAGATAAAAGTTGAAATTATTAAAATAAAAGTAAAAGTAGAATTAATATGTACAACTAAAACTTGGTTCACTGAGATGATCAAAAACTCAGATAGGCTCCCCTCAGGGGCTTATGTAAGGAAAGGAGAGAGAAAACAAGTAATACAATATTAGGGATTAGCAAGGACATTTAAACGCAGATAAAGATGAGATTAAACAATTAGAAAAGGATCATATAATACTATGGCAAACAATTCAAAAATTTAGTAAGAGTAGAAGTTATTATAGTCTCAGCTCAAAATCTATCCAACAAAGTCATTTCATACCTGTACCCTTACCGTGGTGTTTAGTGGAATATACACAGCAAAAGGTTTTGCTGGGTTTGCCTCTCAATACAGAACGGGCTGTCTCTCCTGCTCAGGTCCTATTCTAATGGCTCTGTCTGTTTTACAGAAAAAGATTTCCGCTTGGAAATTGAACAGCTCCTGGGAAAATGGACATCTGTATTGATTTGCAAACTAACTATGCTGAGCTGGTTCTGGATGTGGGAAGAGTCACTCTTGGGGAGAAGAATAGAAATAAAATGAAAGATCGTCAACTGAGAAAAAAGCAGAATGATAAAATCTCACGAGCTGTGTGTGCTGAACTGAATTCTGGAGGGGGCGTGATCAAGGCCGAAATTGAGAATGAAAACTATAGTTTCAAAACTGATGGAATAGGATTAGATTTGGAAAATTCTTTTGGGAATTTGCTTCCGTGCGTTCGTAAATACCTGGACTTCATGCAGCAAGATAATTACTTTCTTATTTTTGTCAAATCATGGAGCTCAGAAATCCCTGGTCTGAAAATTGTCACCTTGAGCTCCAATTTGTACAAAAGAGATATAACATCTGCAAAAGTCATGGATCCCATTGCTGCACTGGAGTTCCTCAAAGACAGGAAAGAAAGAGGAGAGGTATTGTCTCCAAAACCGTTATCGCCGCCAAAGAGGTTGTGTTTTGGTGTACAAGAAGAAAGTAACATAGAGGCCGCAGCTGCTGACTTTTTTAACAGGACGAAACTTAAGTATAAAGAAAAACTCACTTTTACTGAATCCACGCATGTTGAAATGAAACAGTTCTCGACAGAAAAGTGGTTTCAACGCATTAAAGAGATTCTCCCTCAGTATGTTTCTGCATTTGCAAATACTGATGGGGGATATTTGTTTATTGGTGTAAATGAAGATAAACAAGTGATTGGCCTTAGAGCAGAATCAAGTGACCTTGACAAGTGGAAAGGAGAAATAGAAACATCCATTAGGAAGCTGCCTGTCTATCACTTCTGTGGGAGGAATAGGGAGATAAAATACTCACACAAATTCCTTGGAGTATATGATGAAGGACATCTTTGTGGGTATGTTTGTGCTCTCAAAATACAGCGATTCTGCTGTGCGGTGTTTGCTAAAGAGCCGGACTCCTGGCATGTGGAAGACAACCGTGTGAGGCAGATGACCGTGAATGAATGGATCCGGTTCATGGTGGATGCTGAACCAAGTGAGGAAGGACCACGTAAGGAATTTCTGATCTTTAGAAATAAGGCTACATTTGGCTAGGGTGGCAGGAAGGTTTTTTCTGTGGGATTTGGGGCAAGATCAGTAAGCCTCAGATTTCAATACCTAATTTACGAATCTCTGGTGGATGCAATCAGGAGTTTACTATCTCTTGTTTTCTTCTGCTCGCTTAGAACATAGCTATTCCATACAGAAAGCACATTATCTTCTTTCAGTAATACTACCTGGTGCAAAGATCCAATTAACCCTGTTTTTCTTCCCTACCACCTCTTTATACACTTTCAAAGAAAGCCTGTTCAATCCTCCTCCTTTTTCTTTCTGATCTCAATCTCAGTAACTGACCATTTCTTTTTGTTTTTTTGTGGGGAAGATTGGCCCTGGGCTAACATCTGTGCCAGTGTTCCCCTATTTTGTATGTGGGTCGCTGCCACAGCATGGCTTGATGAGTGCCATAGGTCTGCACCCAGGATCTGAACCAATGCATCCCGGGCTGCTGAAGCACAGCGTGCAAACTTAACCACTGAGCTAGCCCCAACCATTTCTTTCTTTCAGGAATACTTGCCTCTTTTGTTTACTTGCTCTTTCATCTTTCCACTTATTTCCCTTAAAACCTCTTCCTCTCCTGTTTTTTCCATTTGTGAGGCAAAATGTAACCCTAAATTGGACTAACGAAAGAAAAATGTTGGTATTTTATCTTATTTTGGAAAAGGAAAGCCTCAAATGAAATTATACCAGCACTAGCAACTTCCAAAATCTCTGAAAACACAAGCTTCTTCCTTAGAATCTGCACAAAACTCAGCTCTCCGTCACTAGCCATCACATCTTCTAATTCTAATTGCTTGTAAAATGAACCCAGTTATATGGTAAGGTATTCAATTACTATTAAAACATTTTTCCCATTAATTTTCATTCCAGGTATAGTATGTTTCAGCAGCATCAAGGATTAAATTTACAATTTGTGTCTGACCTAGGAATCTAACCGCAATGTCTAATAACAATATTTCTATTGGGAAAATGGGGTTCTTCTAAGCAGACGTTCGATCAACTATGCTTTAGTTAGTTGGGGCTCTCCTCTGTGGCAAATTAAGAATGTCTTTTTGTTTTTTTAAGATTTTTCCAGCTTATTTGAAGAGATGGGGCTTCAGCGAAGTAGGTTGTCACCAATTCCCCGGAGTCAGCCTCTTGATAATTGTAAGCATTTGGAAAGTTGGGAGCAGAGATGTCACCTTCCAGGTAGTTTTATTCTGGCTTCTTTGGACTTGTTGGTGTGAATGTGTTCAAGCCTCCTTCTCTTTAGATCAGCTTTATCTTGAAATTTTTTTTCTTCTTCTCCCCAAAACCCGCCACTACATAGCCGTATATTCTAGTTTAGGTCCCTCCAGCTGTGCCATATGGGACGCTGCCCCAGCACGGACCAATGAGCAGTGCTAGGTCCGCGCCCAGGATCCGAACCGGTGAAACCCTGGGACTCCGAAGCAGAACGTGCAAACCCAACCACTCGGCCATGGGGCCGGCCCCCAGATTTTATCTTGAAATTTGTCATCAAAGCACATTCTGGTGTTTATGGGAATAAGTGTTTTTAGTCATTGATTGTGTCGAAGTATAATTCTATAGATTTTGATTAGAGTTTTCTTGGTGTAATAGGAACGCCTTTAATTGAAAGTAAGAGAAACTCAACTCAGTTTAGTTGAAACAAAAAAGGAAGTATATCATGTCAACTGGGAAGTCTAGATTGGGGCCACATGGCTATATTCAATTACTGAGGAAATGCCATCAGTTCTCCCCATCTCTGATTTATCTGTTTTTGTTGTTACTGTTTATGGGCAACATGTTTTCTACTATATGAACAGTGTTACCTTGAATACTCTTGTTCCGTCTTCTAGTACATATCTGCAAGTTTCTCTTGAGTGCATACCTAGAAGTGGAATTGGTGGGTCAGGAGGCATGTGAATATTCAAGTAATAAGGAAATGCCAAATTGTTTTCCAGAGTAGATGGGTCACTTTGCTCCCATCAACAATATATTAGGAATGCCACGTCTTCTGCAGTTGTCAGACTTCTCATCATCTTTCTTCTCCTCCTCTTTCTCACCCTCCTTCTTCCTAGTCAAAAGGTACAAATTGTATCTCTTTGTGCTGTGCATTTCCCTGATTGTTAATTTCGTTGAGCGCCTCTTTATATACTTATTGGGCATATGTATTTCATCTTCTATGAAATACCTATTCTGTCTTTTGCCCATTTTTCTATTAGGATTTTGTCTTTTTGCAATTGAGTTGTAGGAGTAATTTACAGATTCTAGATCCCAAATCCTCTTTTGATCATAGGTATTACAGAGTACAGATGTACTTTCCAAGTTTGTGGCTTGCATTTTCTGTTTTCTTAAGGCATACTATGATCATCAGTAGTTTCAAATTTTAGTATAATCAAACGTACCATATTTTAATTTTGTGGTTTAGTGCTCTTTGTGCCTGTGTAAGAGATCCTTTTCTACCTTAAGATTAGAATGGTATTTCCTTTCATTTTCTTCCAGAAGTTTCAAAGTTTTGCACATTACATTTAACATTTAAATCCTCAATCCATCTCAACAGACAGTGATGTAGGGGTGCTATTTCATTTATTCCATGTGGATAAACACTTTTCCACCTCCAGTTACTGAATAGTTCCACATTCACTGACTCATTTGCTACCGCCTCCAGCATATTACTACGTATATCCATGTAGAGCCCTGTTTCTGGAGTGTCTGTTACGTTCCCTTGGTCAGTTTGTCTATCCCTATGTACACGATACCGTCTTAAAATTGTAAGCTTATACTAAGTACCAGTATCTGGTAGAGTAAATCCCCCTACTTTTGTTCTTTTTCTTTGAGAGTGTCTTGGTAATTTTAGTCATTTAATCTATCATATAAATTTTAGAATCTGCTTAAGTGTGACAAAAAATCCTTTGGGGATTTTGATTGTAGTTACGATGAATCTCTAGATAGGTTTGGGAAGAGATTACGTATTTACATCAGTCAGTCTCTGTACTCTTGAACATAGGAAATCTCTCCACTTACTTATAAATTTCTGCATACAAGTTTTGTACATCTTTTTTTATTTTTATTTTTTAAGTTAATTTTTATTGAGTTTATGATAGTTTACAACGTTGTGAAATTTCAGTTGTACATTATTGTTTTTCAGTCATGTTGTAGGTGCACCACTTCACCCTTTGTGCCCAGCCCCACCCCCCTTTCCCCTGGTAGCCACTAATCTGTTCTCTGTGTCCACGTGTTTAAATTCCACATATGAGTGGAGTCATATGGAAATTGTCTTTCTCTATCTGGCTTACTTCACTTAACATAATTCCCTCAAGGTCCATCCATGTTGTTGTGAATGGGACGATTTTGTTCTTTTTTTATGGCTGAGTAGTATTCCATTGTATATATATACACCATATCTTCTTTATCCAATCATCAGTTGATGGGCACGTAGGTTGCTTCCACATCTTGGCTATTGTAAATGCTGCTGCAATGAACCTAGGGGTGCATGGGACTTTCGGAATTGCTGATTTCACGTTCTTTGGATAGATACCCAGTAGTGGGATAGCTGGGTCATATGATATTTCTATTTTAAATTTTTTGAGAAATCTCCATACTGTTTTCCATAGTGGCTGCACCACTTTGCATTCCCACCAGCAATGTATGAGGGTTCCTTTTTCTCCGCAACCTCTGCAACATTTGTTATTTTTTGTTTTGGTTATTTCTGCCATTCTAATGGGTGTAAGGGGGTATCTTAGTGTAGTTTTGATTTGCATTTCCCCAATGATCAGTTATGATGAACATGTTTTCATGTGCCTATTGGCCATCCGTATTTCTTCTTTGGAGAAATGTCTGTTCATGTCCCCTGCCCATTTTTTGATCAGGTTGTTTGATTTTTCGTTGTTGAGTTGTGTGATTTCTTTATATATTATGAAGATTAACCCTTTGTCGAATATATGACTTGCAAATATTTTTTCCCAATTGGTGGGTTGTTTTGTTTAATCCTATTTTCCCTTGCCTTGAAGAAGCTCTTCAGTCTGATGAAGTCCCATTTGTTTATTCTTTCTATTGTTTCCCTTGTCTGAGAAGACATGGTGTCTGAAGAGATCCTTTTGATACTGATGTCAAAGAGTGTACTGCCTACATTTTCTTCTAGAAGTCTTATGGTTTCAGGTCTTACCTTTAGGTTTTTGATCCATTTTGAGTTTATTTTTGTGAATGGTGAAAAAGAATGGTCAATTTTCATTTTTTTACATGTGGCTTTCCAGTTTTCCCAGCACCATTTGTTGAAAAGACTTTCTTTTCTGCATTGTATGCCCTCAGCTCCTTTGTCGAAGATTAGCTGTCCATAGATGTGTGGTTTTATTTCTGGGCTTTCAATTCTGTTCCATTGATCTGTGCACCTGTTTTTGTACCAGTACCATGCTGTTTTGATTACTGTAGCTTTCTAGTATGTTTTGAAGTCAGGGATTGTGATGCCTCCAGCTTTGTTCTTTTTTCTCAGGATTGCTTTAGCAATTCTGGATATTTTGTTGCCCCACATGAATTTTAGGATTCTTTGTTCTCTTTCTGTAAAGAACGTCCTTGAGATTCGGATTGGGACTGCACTGAATCTGTAGATTGCTTTAGGTAGTGTGGACATTATAACTATGTTTATTCTTACAATCCACATGCATAGAATTTCCTTCCATTTCTTTATGTCGTCATCAATTTCTTTCAGGAAAGCCTTGTAATTTTCGTTGTATAAGTCTTTGACTTCCTTAGTTAAATTCACCCCCGAGGTATTTTATTCTGTTTGTTGCGATTGTGAATGGTATTGTGTTCTTGAGTTCTTTTTCTGTTAGTTCGTTATTAGAGTATAGAAATGCTACTGACTTATGTATGTTGATTTTATACCCTGCAACTTTGCTGTAGTTGTTGATTACTTCTAAAAGTTTTCTGAAGCATTCTTTAGGGTTTTCTATATATAAGATCATGCCGTCTGCAACCAGCAAGAGTTTCACTTCTTCACTCCCTATTTGGATTCCTTTTATTCCTTTCTCTTACCTAATTGCTCTGACCAAAACCTCCAGTACTATGTTGAATAAGAGTGGTGATAGTGGGCATCCTTGTCTCACTCCTGTTTTCAGGGGATGGTGCTCAGTTTTTGCCCATTGAGTATGATGTTGGCTGTGGGTTTGTTGTATATGGCCTTTATTATGTTGAGGTAATTTCCTTCCATCTCTGTTTTGTTCAGAGTTTTTATCATAAATGGCTGTTGGATCTTGTCAAATGCTTTCTCTGCATCTATTGAGATGATCATGTGATTTTTATTCCTCAATTTGTTGATGTGGTGTATCACGTTGATTGATTTGTGGATGTTGAACCATCCCTGTGTCCCTGGTATGAACCCCACTTGATCATGATGTATGATCCTTTTGATGAATTGCTGAATTCAGGTTGCCAAAATTTTGTTGAAAATTTTTGCATGTATCTTCATCAGTGATAGTGACTTGTAGTTCTTTTTCATGCTGTCCCTGTCAGGCTTTGGTATTAGCGTGATGTTGGCCTTGTAGAATGTGTTAGGAAGTGTTCCATCCTCCCTAATTTTTTGGAATAGCTTGAAAAGGATAGGTATTAAATCCTCTCTGAAAGTTTGGTAGAATTCCCCAGGAAAGCCATCTGGTCCTGGGGTTTTATTCTTTGGGATGTTTTTGATTGCTGTTTCAGTCTCTCTCCTTGTGATTGGTCTGTTCAGATTATCTGCTTCTTCTTGACTTAGCTTTGGGAGATTGTAAGAGTCTAAGAATTTATCCATTTCCTCTAGGTTATCTATTTTGTTGGCATATAGTTTTTCATAGTATTCTCTTATAATCCATTGTATTTCTGTTGTTGTTTCTCCTCGCTCATTTCTGATTTTGTTTATTTGAGCTTTCTCTCTTTTTTTCCTTGTAAGTTTGGCTAGGGGTTTGTCAGTTTTATTTATCTCCTCAAAGAACCAGCTCTTTGTTTCATTGATCCTTTCTACTGCCTTTTTTGTTTCAATAGCATTTATGTCTGCTCTGATTTTTATTATTTTTCTCCTTCTGCTGACTTTGGGCTTTGTTTGTTCTTCTTTCTCTAATTCAGTTAGGTGTAATTTGAGATTGCTTATTTGGGATTTTTCTTGTTTGTTAAGGTATGCCTGTATTGTGATGAATTTCCCTCCTAATACAGCTTTTGCTGTATCCCATATGAGTTGGTATGGCATGTTATCATTTTCATTTGTCT